TGACACATCTATCAAAGTAAGCACTGGGAAATGCAATTTCAAGAAATATAAAGAAGTACCCAGATAATCAGTTTAAAAAAACTAATGTGATTCAGAGAGAGAGAAGGAAGAGAAGAGGAGAGACAACAGGAATGGAGGAAGAAAGAAAAATGCAGAGACTGCAAGCAGTCAAGAGCAGCCCTAGAAAAGGAGAGAGCACCTGTGGCCTGGTGCAGGTGTTAGACCTAGGTAGGTGGAGAATTTTTTATTGTTGTTATGAGCTGTGTTGAGATATAATCCATATACCATAAAATTCGCCCTTTCCAAGTGCACAATTTGTGTCTCAGTATACTCATAGTGTTATGCAACCCTTATTACCACCTATTTTTAAAAGAAACCGCATACCCATTAGCAATCATACTCCATTCCCCTCCCTTTCCCCTGATATTCCATCCTACCCTAGATAATTATTCTACTTCCTGGCTCTATTCTACTTCCGGGCTCTACAGATTTACCACTTGTGAACATTACATATAAATGGAATCATAATACATGGCCTTTTATGCTCATTTTTTTCACTTAATACAGTGTTTTCAAGATTCATCTATGTTGTAGTATCCATCATTCATTCATTTTTATTGCCAAATAATATCCCATTGTACAAATTTACCACATTTTATTTATCTATTCATCAGTTGATGACATTTGGATTGTTTCCTCTTTTTGGCAATTATGAATAAAGCTGCCATGAACACTCATGGGCAAGTTTTTGCGTGGGCATGTTATCACTTATCTTGAGTGTATACCTAGGAGTAGAATTGCAGAATCATATAGTAATTCCATGATTAACCATTTGAGGCACTGTTAAACTGTTTTTCAAAGTGACTGTACCATTTTTCATTTCATCAACGGTGTATGAGGGTTCCAATTTCAACACATCATTGTTGATATTTCTTATCCATCTTTTTCATTATAGCCATTCTTGTGGGTATGAGGTGACATGTTATTGTGGTTTAGATTTACATTTACCTAATGACTATTGACACTGAGCATCTTTGCATGTGCTTGTTGACCATTTACATATCTTTGAGAAAATGTCTATTCAGGTGTTTTGTCCATTTTTCAATTGGGTTGCTTATCTTTTTATTACTGATTTATAAGAGTTCTTCATATATTCTGGAAATAAGTAAAAGTTCCATATCAGGAATATGATTTGCAAATTATTTCCTATGTATTTGTGGGTTGTTTTTTTCACATTTTTTATAGTAACCTTTGAAGCACAAAAATTTATAGTTTTGATATAGTCCAGTTTATTTGTTTTTTATTTTGTTGTTTGAGATTTGCTATTATATTTGAAAAAACCATTGCCAAGAGCATGAGGATTTACTCCTATGTTTTCTTCTAAGAGTTTCATACTTTTAGCACTTATATTTAGGTCTATGATCCATTTTGAGTTAATTTTTGTGCATGTTGTGAGGTAGGGGGTTAACATCATTCTTTTACATGTGGATATATAGTTGTCCCAGTGCCATTTGTTGAAAAGAAAGACTTTTCTTTCCTCCATTGAATGGTCTTGGCACCATAAAAAAAAAAATCAGTTGACTATACAAGGGTGGTTTATATCTGGACTCTTCTATTCCATTGATTTATGTGTCTACATTTATGCCAGTACCACATGTCTTAATTACTGTAGTTTTGTAGGAAGTTTTGGAATCAGGAACTGTAAGTCCTCTGACTTTGTTCTTCCTTTCCTGTGTTGGGCTTGTTCTGAGTATTTGTGATCTCTTGCAATTCCATATGAATTTGAGTATTGGCTTTTCCATTTCTGCAATGCCAGCTGCTATTTTGATAGGAATTGTATTGAATCTGCAGATCAGTTTTTGAGGGGTGGTAGTGCCATCTTAACAATGTTGTCTTTCCAATTTATGACCTGGAATGTCTTTCCATTTATTTAGAAGTCTTCTTTAATTTCTTTAATAATGTTTTGTAACTTTAGTCACATTTTTCACATCTTTTGTTAAATTTATGCCTGGGTATTTTATTCTTTGTTTTTGGTGCTATTGTAAAAGTAATTGTTTTCTTAGTTTTATTTTCAGGTGGACATTATTATCAATGAACATTGATAGTGTATAGAAATACAATTGATTTTTGTATATTGATCTCAACTCTAGCAACCTTGCTGAACTTATTAGTTCTCATAGTTTTTTTTAGTGGATTCTTTAAGATTTTCTATATATATGGTCCTGTCATCTGCAAATAAGATAGCTACTTCTTCCTTTCCAGTCTGGGGGCCTTCCCTTTCTCTTGTCTAGTTGTCCTGGCTAGAATCTCCAGTACAATGTTGAACAGAACTGGTGAGAATGGACATCCTTGTCTTGGGCTTGATCTCAGGAGGAAAGCATTCAGTTGTTCAACAATAAGTATGAGATCAGCTGTGGGATTTTTCGTAGATGACTTTTATTGGATTGAGGAAGTTCTTTCCTCTTCCTAGTATGTTGAGTGTTTTTTTATCATAGGGTGTTGGATTTTGTCAAATGCTTTTCATACATTTTTTATTCAGTTAGTATTATGTATTGCATTTCCTAGGATAAATCTCACTTGGTTATGGTGCATGATCCTTTTTATATGTCTCTGGATACCATTTACTAATGTTTTGTAGAGTATATTTTTTGTGTGTATGTCTGTATTGTTAAGGGATATTGACCAGTAGTTTTATTTTTTTGTGATGTCTTTATCTTACCTTGATATCAGTGTGATACTATCCTCATAGAATGAGCTAGAAATTGTTCCCTCCTCTTTTACATACTGGGAAAGTTTTTGGAGAAATTGGTTTCAATTTTTCTCCTAATGTTTGGTAGAATTTACTATGAAGCCGTATGTGTCTGGGCTTTTCTTTATGGAAAGATTTTTAGTTATCAATGTGATATCTTTATTTGTTATGGAGCTTTTTAAACTTTCTGTTTTCTTGGTTAGTTTCAGGAATTTAGACCTTTCTACTAATTTGTCCCTTTCCTCTATGCTATCTAACTAGTTGGCATATGGTTGTTCATAGTCCTCTTTATTTCTTGTAGTTGGTAGTGATGACCCCTCTTTTGTTCCCTGCACCCCTGCATCTGCTTTGTTTTGGTTGGTCTAGTTAAAGCTTGTTAATGTTGTTGACCTCTTCAAAGAACCAACTTCGAGTTCCACTGATTTCCTCTATTGTTTTGCTCTTTCTTATTTCATGTATCCCTGCTGTATGTTTCTCTCTGAGCTGTACTTTCGCTGTACCACATGAATTTTGGTACACTGTGTTTTTGTTTTCATTCATTTCAAAGTATTTTCTACTTTCTTTATGATTTCTTCTTTGATACACTGGTTATACAGGAATATATCATTTAATATCCACATATTATTGTAAATTTCCCAAAGTTCCTTCTGTTATTGATTCTAATTCCATTGTGGTTTTGAAAGCATACTTGGTATGATTTCAATCCTTTTAAATTTATTAAGACTCATTCTCTGACCTAGCATATGATTTATCTTGGAGAATGTTCTATATGCGTTTGAGAAGGAAGCCTGTTCTGTTGTAGGGTGTTCTATAGATGTCTATTAGGTCTAGTTGGTTTACAGTGTTGTTTGTGGGTTTTCTGTCTGGTTTTTCTGTTCATTATTGGAAATGTGGTATTGAGAAATCTGACTATTGTTGAATTGCTTATTCCTCCCTTCGATTCTGTCAATTTTGCTTCATGTGTTTTTGGATGTTATTGTTAGGTATATGTATGGTCATAATTCTTGTATCTTCCCAATGGATTGCTCCTTTATGATTATGGAACTCCCTCTTTCACTCTAGTAACAATATTTGTTTTAAAATATATTTTGCCAGATATAGCAACTCCAGTTTTCTTTTTTTTTTAAACTGCTTACATGGTATATCTTTTTTGACCTATTTACTTTCAACATATTTATGTTTAGTGGATAGTTTTTGTTTAATGATTTTAATGGTTTTTAAATTTATTTTTTAAATAATCATACAACACAAGTCATTTTTTTCTCTTGATGTATAGTTCTAGGCATTTTAACATATGTGTAGATACATGTAACCGTGCCTGTGGTAGGATAGAAAAAATTAACATTAACTCCAAAAACTCCTTTCCCGCAAACCTAATCCCTAGCACAGAATGATACTTTCCCTTGTGGAGAGTTCTCATTATACCATCATAGGTTAGGGATTCATATTACATTATGATCATTATCACTATTATTTGACACTAGTTTTGTTGATTGTCTTTTTTCTTCAACCCTTCTGAGGCTTGGTGTGGAGCTATGTAACTACCTCAGAATGCAGAGTCAAGGGCAGTTGGGGATTATTTTCTGGGCTACAGTATTGATTAGAGTCATTCAAATGTAGAAGATTCTTAGAAGAATTGACATGACATCAAGATGAAGCTGAGGCTTGAGTCTTATTTAAGGGCTGGTATTTTCCACCAACTTTGGGAACACTACTACAGCATTGTCATGTTACCTAATCTGAATGGTAGCCTAGAAATTCCAGGTCTTTGGTGATAGCTGAGCACCAACTGTGCAATTATAAGTGCATCCCCAAGTATGCCTGGCATCCTATCATCCTCCTGCTCCCAATTGACTCTGGAAAGCAAATAGAGTGTAACAATAGAGTCCTGTAATGTTCCTGTGTAGGGCTGACCTTTGTATCATTGTTAATCTTTGTCCTCTCTTTTCAGAGACAAGAGATTAAGTTAAAACTGCATGAAACCCATTTCTGAACCACAGGGCTGGGCTGCTTTCCCTCTATGCAAACCCAAAGGATTTAATAGGATTTTCCCCTTCTCAAACACCTCCCCCCCAACCCTGACCTTCACCGCTTCCCAACATTAGGGAAAGGCAGGAAGTTTTCCCTGTGGTTTTTCTTTGTGACGACATGATGGGGCAGGTTGATCAATGGGGGAAAACCCATGTCAGAACACGCCTTCTGTGTACATTCCCAATATGTGCTATAAGTAGGGCTATCCCAGACACAGTCTACTGTCAGAACCTAGCAGCACTCCCAGAGCACTGGGTACCCAGCCCTGAGCAGATCTATTCTTTGAGCTGAAAATGATGTGCAGTAGCAAGAATTTGCTCCTGGCTGCTTTGATGTCAGTGTTGCTCATTCACCTCTGCAGCAAGTCAGAAGGTAAGTATCACTCTTTCTGCTGACACGGGACGAAGAAGTGTTTTCATTCTCCTCTAAGCCTTGAGCTCCCCTGGGGGTCCCCAAAGAATGGGAGCCTGTTGGAAAGTCTTCAGAAGTGATGGGAGTTGTCAGCTCTTTGGGTGAGTGAGGAGCAAACGGTTACTGCTGCTGATCAGGCTTTTTTTTTTTTCTCCTCTGCTCTCAATCCCAGCAGATATTTGGGGTGGCTGGGTTCTGAGAGACCCCCCAAGCTCGGCAACAAGGCCAAAGTGCTATTTTGGGGAGTGATGTAAGTTGTCATGTTACCAGTGAATGGGGTCGTCATTCTGAAACGTAGGAAACACTCCCACGTTTCCAACTTTTTCACCTCCCACCTAAATAGTTTTAGTAAACTTCAAAACTCATCCTTTGGGGCAGATTATGGCATCTGACCTCTCCATCCTTACATGGCTTTGGGCCATTTCTTGCCAACTTAGAGATAACATTGATCCCTTACCTTACAGCAGGTTATAATTTAACCTGGGGGAGTATTTGAGTATTGCTTTATGGCTGTGAGAGTACATCACTTTTAGCAACAGGGGCATTCCTGGAAATGCACGTGTTGAACTTTTATGACCAAAATATTTCCACTAATATCACAATTTCAAAGTGCTTTTGAAGCTCCTATAAATTGCATTTTCCTTTGTAACTTCTTATCATTCCCCTCCTCTCAATGCTCCGTACTAAGTGATAGATTAAAATCTCCATATTTATTCATTTTCTGAATTTGGAAGTTTATCTACAAGAGTTTCTTCAAGTGAGAGATAGTCATATTCTTGAGTGATTATAATGAACCTAAATAAAACACTGTCAATTTGTGTTTCTCACTAGAGATATTCCTTTTGTTAGAAGTCACGGGCTTCTAAACTGTATTATTAAACCAAATCTCCCAGCATATAAGCTTTCCCCCTCTTTTTTTTAAGAGAGCTGGAAATTACATTAAATCAGGTCTCAAAGACATTGGAACTGTTTCTCTAAATAGTTTCTTTACCATATACAACTACAGCTTTGAGTAGTTCCATAATACCTATTACAGGATAAATTCATTCATGTATACTCAATACCTTTAATGTCTTTTCAGCAGCAAGCAACTTTGATTGCTGTCTTCGATATACAGAACATGTCCTTCATCCCAGATTTATTGCGGGCTTCACACAGCAGCTGGCCAATGAAGCTTGTGACATCAATGCTGTCATGTAAGTTATTCATTGACTGTCATTCGATTGTGTCAGGAGTAAGTGGGAATTTCAAGTGTAAAAAAATTTTTGTCTTTTTGGAGTTTCAGAAATAACTGATGGGGCAAAGATATGTTTGTTTTGATAGTACATATGTATTCCAAAGTTTAAATAGGACTGGAATAAGGCAAAAGTTTAGTTTTCTTTTTTTTAAGAACAGAGTTGAGTGCAAAATCACTTTTTAAGATAAACTTATAAGCTACTAACATGCCATCTCAGGAAAATATGGGAGACATAAATTTTGAAATGAGCATCTTCTACCAGAGAATGGTTGGGGCTGTAAGTAAAAACTCAGAGTTGTTATACTTTCACATGTAATAATCGATCCGTCTAGGATATTATACTTCAGAATGATATAGGTTATTGGTTGGATATACATATATTTTGTGTAACCACCAGCAACAAAATTAAATAACAGTTCTGAGACTTATTTTCCAGTCATTGCACAGCTATTTGTTAAAATACAGAGAAAGGAGAGAATCACTTTCATTTCCTGCATTAAGATTTATCAGAAACAATTCTTTTTTTTTTTTTGTATTTTGTTTCACCTTGGAAATAAATAAAATGCTTAGTGGGTAGAGCAGTCCACTGGAATACAAAATTTCCATTGCATGTTCTGTGAAATAGCAATTGAAAACTCTTTAAGCACAAATCAAATTTTTTTTTTAAGCTTTTACACAAAGAAAAGATTGGCTGTGTGTGCAGATCCAAAGAAGAAGTGGGTGAAAAAGGCTGTGCATATCCTCAGGTATGGGACATTTACCATCAGCCCCTCTTCAAATGTCTGGGGCAAAGGTCATGTGCAGAGTGGTGGATCATAGGCTGGCTGGGACCCTTTAGCCTAAGCAATGTAGAATTTTATTTATTTTATTTTTTTATAGATTTATTTTAGAGAGAGAAAGAGCGAGGGTAAGAGCAGAGGGAGAGGAAGAGAGAGAATCTCGAGCAGACTCTGTGCTGAGCACAGAGCCCCATCTCATTACCCTGAGCAGAGCTCCAGAGTTGGTTGTGTAACCAACTGAGTCACCCCAGGCACCCCAGCAGTGTAGAATTTTAAAGGGGAAATTTGAGTTGGATCATGAAAACAAAAATTCATTTTTTCCACTTATACATCATTTAAAAAATTTTTTTAGGGGCGCCTGGGTGGCTCAGTCATTAAGCAACTGCCTTCAGCTCAGGTCATGATCCCAGGGTCCTGGGATCCAGCCCCGCATCAGGTCCCCGGCTCCGCAGGAAGCCTGCTTCTCCCTCTCCCACTCCCCCTGCTTGTGTTCCCTCTCTTGTGGTGTCTCCCTCTGTCAAATAAATAAATAAAATCTTAAAAAAAATAAAAAATAAAATAAATAAAAATTTTTTTTAATTTAATGATTTTCCCATGCTGTATAAGATTCTTCTATGAATTTGATAGTTGCTAGCTGCTTGGCTTTTGTTGCAAAGATGCCTCCTATTTATATAATTTACAGACTACATGGCATTGGTTTGTTAAAAACTGAAAAATAAAGAGTCTTTTCTTTTCTTTTTCTCTTTACAGCCACAGAGTCAAGAAGATGTAAAACGGATGCTCTCTGGAATGGAATTGGACAGAGCCCATGAACAAAAAGAATCTAGCTGGAGTTGGTGGTTGAGAGTGTAGTGCATGCCCGATTTGTGCTTCACTGGACTTGTCCAATTAATGAAGTTGATACATATTGCATCATAGTTTGCTTTGTTAAGCATCACATTAGAGTCAAACTCTATTTTATGTTATTTATATATATATATGTGTGTGTGTGTTTTGTGTGTCTGTGTTTGCTATTTAATACTAATTTCCTACAAGCTATTTGATTTAGTACGAGGTACCATGTTATGTTTGGAGGAATGAGGTTATATGGACTTTCTTGTAAGCAGCAAGCTATTTGTAAAAAACTATTTAACATTCGTCTACATAGTTTTGTTTCCTAAACCATTGTAATTATCCTGTAAAAGAGAAAAATGATGATAAAAATAAGTATTGAAAATAAAAGAATGAACTAAAAATTGCTCGTTGATAGAGTTATAGTAGCACTTTTTAAGATACATGTTAACTTTTTTTTAATATTTAAAGGTATGGTAAATCTAAAAATTGGTGGTGGGGGTGGGAATCGTATTTCCCTATTCACTTCTGCCTAGCTGTTCCCATTATCCCTGTTCCGCATAGTCCTGGTTTTCATTCTACATGAATTATAATGCAAAGGGTTTTTTTTTTTTTAATTCAAAGTCATCAAAACCAAAAATTAGAAAATTCATAGCTCCATTAGAGATCCATAGCTCAGCGTTTATTTATACAAAACTTTTCAAAATAAACTATATCTATCTACTTTGTGACTACAGGGACATAATAACCACCGGAAAAATACCTTGAGAAATCCCTATGTCCATCATTGTCATCCAGCGAGGGACCTAGCAATGGACATCTCAGCACAGAAATATTTCTCTATTTCAAAAGTCCTCCAGAGTCATCCTTAAGCAGTTTCCAAAAAGAAATGACAAGGCAGAGGGTTCTAGGAACCGATTCCTCACTAAGCAGAGGAGAGACTTGAGGTGTGTGAAACTTAGCAAGAACCCAGACATAAGAAGAAAGGGTCCTGAACCAGGGGAGTTACTATCACAGGATTCAAGTAGCAAAATCTGTGGCTTGACACAGCACTCAGGACTATCTGCCTTAGACTCCAAAGGCCACGAAGGACCGCTGGAGGCAGGCACACTGATGATATGATGCAAAATCCAGACACACAAACTCATAAAGCAGGGCAATGGTGGGTCATTTGTGTAGAGCCAAGAGCTGTAAGTGGCCCAATCAGCCCAGAAGTCAACTCTATGCCCAGGAATAGTAACACTGAGTCATCAGGGAAAGTATGCTCCATAACCTGTTTGTTTATTCATTGAACATGGGTTTAGTACCTATTATGTGCCAGGTACTGAGCCAAGTGAAGCTTGTGATACCAAGAGATAAATTAGGACTTGGTCTTTACTCCCAGGTAATTAGGGCTGAACAGTGAGGTGAGAGGGAGGGGACAAGATGATCAGCTTTTACCACACATGGTGTAAGCACTTGGATAAAGAGAATCACAGAGTTCCGTAGGGCATCAGTAGTGAGGGCTTGCAGAAGGAAAGAATACTTGGTTGAATCATATTAAATCGCCAATATTCGATGTTCTTGAACTATGGGGATGACAATAGTGTATAGTTCCATATTTGAGCTGAGGTATTAGTGGCCAGTAGGAACCACCCAGCTGGAAAAGCAGGAGGTGTTTGGAAATATCTGGGGGCATATTTCAGGTCTCATAATGTCTGAAGGTGAGGTACTAGGGGTATTGAGTGGGCAGGGGGCAGGGATGCTAAACCTATCAGAATGGACAGGATCGTCCTGCACAATGAAGAATTGCCCCATCCAAAATGTCAACTGTGCCACCAGTTTGGCAAACTGGATGAACTGGAAAGTATGCAAGGAGTAGGGGTGGGGTGGAGTAGTTGCAGGTGAAGTGAAACTGTTACCTCAACCAAGTCTAGTAGTTTGAACTTGAACAGGGGAACGCTGGGGAAACTGTGACAAAGTCCAAGCAGGGGGAAAGGGACGTGGGGAGGAAAACAGAAGTAGAAGTAGTAGGGGGAGCAGCAGTGAGTAAGATGAGAAATGACGAGAACTCAGTGAAAGCCCGGGTAGAAAGACAGGTGCATAAATCTTTAGAAAAAGACCAAAATAACAAAAACAGAGTATCATACAAGTAGCCCCTCCCCGCCCCTCCCCCCTGTCACACAGCTTCAACCAACCAATGGCCATCTTGTTACACCCTATAACACACAACTCATTATTTCCCCCCTTACACACCCCCTGAGTTACTCTGAAGCAATTCCCAGATACCAAAGTACTCGGTCTGTAAATATTTAATTAAAACGCAAGAACGCTTTCATTATCATAGATTTAAAGATCAGCACTGATTCCCTAATATCACCAAATAACCAGTCAGTGTTAAAATATCCCTATTTGAAAAAAAAATCCCTGTTTGTTTCCCCCCAAAAGTTGTTTTTACTTGTTTATGTATATACTTGCTGTTGAATTTGTTTGAATGAAAATCCAGATAAGGGGGCACCTGGTTGGCTCAAATGGTTCAGCATCTGCCTTCAGCTCAGGTCATGATCTCCAGGTCCCGGGATTGAGCTCCGCCTTGGGCTCTCAGCTCAGCGGGGCATCTGCTTCTCCCTCTCTCTCTGCCTCTCCCCTTGCTTGTGCTCTGTCTCTCTCTCTCTCTCAAATGAATAAAGTCTTTAAAAAAAAAAAAAAAGAGGAAACTCTAGATAAGGCCCACACACTGCATTTGTTTGATTTGTTTCTTTTTTACTTCTAATCTATGTTTCTTACCCCCTCACCTTTACGATTTATGTTTTGGAGAAACCAGGGAATGTGTTCTCTAGTTTTTCATCTTCTGGGTTTTGTTGATGTGCATTCGTATACTGTGATTTAGCATGTTCCCTAACTCTGAGTTATAAATAGAGGCTGAGTTGAAGCTTGATTTGAGGAGGGGGACATTTTATAAGTGACATTGTGCCATGTCGCCATAAAGTTGCCTGAACAGATGCCAGCATCAGGTGTGAAAGGGGAGACTGGGCTTGTGCCCAAGCCTTCACAGAATGTGAATTGATCAAGACCTTCACCTGACAGCTGGGGATGGGGGGAGTGCATGGGCTAATGACATGCATGTATTTCAAAGCGGGTGATGGGGAAGGGGGGTAGGAATGGAGAAGTTCCATCATGGAAGCACAGGAGTGCTGGTCTCCCATCTGCTCCTAAACTTGTGCTTGTCTTGAGAAGACCATAGGGGCAATGATGTTCTTGCCATAGACTCAGGTTTCACCTGAGGGAAGGAGCTAGAGGAGGGAAAGATGGAAGGACAGGAAGGAATTGCCAGAAGAGGCCAGAGGGGGACATCATGGAGATGAGTTGGAGGCACACAACAGTACTGGAGTGGGGGCATGAGAAGTCTGAGAAAGGACAGATGAATGCAAGGGTTTGGGTTGGGGTCGCAGTCATGTCATCAATAATACCTAAGCCTCTGTGCTAATATCACCTGCTAAGATTGCCGATGTATTACCTCATTTAAACATGAGTTAGGCAGTATTTTTGTGTCCATTTTGCGATAGAGAACCTGAGGGTCAAAGGAATTAAGGAATTTACAGTCTTGTGAGATACGATGGAATCAGTTGGTCTCACATTCCGTTGCAGGCATCAGACATAAAGCTGTTTCTGTGTCAATGAAGAGAGCAGCACCTGTGGTGTTTGATGCTTTTTTTTTTTAAGAGTTATTAATTTATTTTGGAGAGAGAGTGGGGGAGGGACAGAGGGCAAGGGAGAGAGAGGATCTCAAGCAGAGACGTGGGGCTCGATCTCACGACCCTAAGATCAAGACCTGAGCCGAAATCAAGAGTCCAATGCTCAACTGACTGAGCCACCCTGGCGCACTGCCCCCTCCCCCCCATTGTGTTTGATGCTTCTTAATGTTGGTTCTTTTTCTGGTTCTTTCTTGGATTCATAGTCCTCTATAGGCTCTGCTATTTTAGGAAGTATCACCGTGTTAGACTATAGACTTTTTTTTTTGGTATCAAAATGACTTAAAAAGTTAATTCCTTCAAGAAATCAGTAAGCTCCCGTTGTGATGTGGGCAGTGCCAGTCGCAGGTCACAGTGCTGGGCTTTTTCTTTCTCATTAGATGGCAGTTTGTCATCATTCCACTGGCTCCCTGGCTTCAGCACAGCGGGTGCGGTCTCCCCTGGCTCAGACGCTGTGTTTCACCACTTGAAAGAATTCCGTTTCCCCAGTGTCCACCCCCAAGGCTCCCTGGGCAGAGTTTGCCCTCACCACCTGCGTCTTCCTGTCCCCAGCATGCCACTCAGCTGGGTGCTGACTTTGGGCCTGCCCCGGCCTGCCCCACTCCCTCCTTTACTCTACAAATCGGCTTGACAATCTTCAGGTGCGAAACCTGCCTGCGGGTGAGTCAGCCTAGGTGGAAATGTCAGTTTCAGTGAAGGAGTGTTTTCCGCTTTACAACAAAGCGGGTTAAAAATATCGTCTTCCCAAAACCGAACCAGAAACCCCCCAACAACATGGGGTGACCTGGGCAGGCTGGGCTGCCCCCTCTCTGAGCATAGCTGCCTCTCTTCTTGCTACCTAATCTCATTTTCTGACACCTGCTTGCTTTAATCTCATGCATGTCTCGAATTTCTTGGTTCCTACCTTTTTTTTTTGTTTCTTTTTTTTTATTAAAAGATTGATTGATTGATTTAACAGAGAGAGAGATAGTGAGAGAGAGAGCACAAGCAGGGGGAGCGGCAGGCAGGGGGAGAGAGAGAGAGAGAAGCAGCCTCCCCGGGGAGCAGGGAGCCTGATGTGAGGCTCGATCCCAGAGTCCTGGGGTTATGACCTGAGCTGAAGGCAGTTGCTTAATCGACTGAGCCACCCAGGCGCCCTGCTACCTTTTCTTTCAATCTATCAGCAGGCTTCAATTCTTGGCCGGGCCTACCAAAACCTCACGATGGGTCGCCCCCACTTCTGGCCATCTGATCTAAGCTGGTCTTCCTACTTACTTATTTCATAGCACCTTGTAAATACTTAGATACTCTGGCAAGCTGTTGGGACTTCTGTTTTCACATTTATAAAGTGGGGGTAATTCTGGTGCTTGCCTATAGAGTTGCTAAAAGGATTAAATGAATTTATACTTGGAACCATTCTCAGCACCTCGTAGACACCCAAATATTATCATTCCTGCCACTGGCACTAACTGTAAGTATTTATTCAGTTATGTATCAGTTGGCTGGTTTCTTGAACATCTTCTGCTATTGTAATAGAAGCTCATTGCTTCACAGATTTCTTTCTACTTGCTCCCTTCTGCATCCCCAACACTTAAAACAGTGACTGCTTAGAGGAGATTCTCAATACATAATAGTTAAATGAAATTATTTCTGTAAAATACTAATCAGGCAATGTGTTCACA